GATCCGCCAGGTGGTACCTCCGCGTTCGACAGTCAGAGACCGTCTACCACCTACGGACAATCACAACTCACAACATCCATAGCCAAGAGAGAAATTTCTCCTGGGTCGGGACTCGAACCCGCACAGCGCACGGCGACTGATCAGGAGACCGAAGAGTCTACTACTGCGGCCACCGCTGCTGCCTGGATTGTCAGCAAATAGGCTGTACGACCAAACCATATATCAGTCAATTTTCCAATTTTAGCATTTTGACTATTTCATATAGCAAGATTCTAACTTTTTTTGACGTCAGTCGAGATTAGAACAAAACTGGAACAATCGCAGAAAGGTAGTGGTGCGGCAATTACCATTTCTAGCATCGCCACTAGAAGTATTCATAACTGCTGAAGTGGACAGTTTTCTCACTTATCCTCATGCTCCTGCATTCCACAAGGTGCAGCTAACAGGAAAAGATGCTTACTCACAGGATTTTGAAAGCAGACGACAGCAAATCACTAATGTGTTATCCAAGATGCACACTTAGCACATTTAATTTGATCAAAAACTGCATTTTTTGGAGTTGTAACCCAGAACATCAATACAAAAAGTACCACCAAGCTGCGTTGCCATACATACGACCTCCAATGTTCAATTTATTGCAACGGTTAATTTGTTATTGCAAAAATAGTTAATTTCTATCTATTTTTTACCAAAAAGGATACTAACAGTAAATATGGAATACTGGCTGACTGTAGCAGTTAGCATAACAAAAAACTTCCATCCAGAACACTATCTTCAAATTTCCAATTGTAACTAACATTTGGATCTCTAATTAAACGTTGTGATTCTGACTTCTGATTTTTAATCAATGTATAAAAAACCTCTGGATTGTAACATTGGTGAAGCATAGCTAAAAATGAATGAATGTCTTTTCCTTCGAAAATTATCATCCAATAAGTAAAGTCAAAAACTAGCCCAGAGTCTGTCCTTTGTGGTCTCAGAGCAGAAAAGCTGACATTTACAGTATTTACAGACATTCATTAAGCAAACTTAAACCAATTTCGCGTAGGCGTCCTGCTGATTCTTAAGGTACAGTTTCACAATAAGATTTTTTCATGATATTTTTGTCTCGTGAAATAAACATCTCATGAAAAGTGTTTCATTGTGGAAACAAGCGAGAGATATGTGAGATGAGCTTGTCAAACAACATCCCATGAGGGTTTAATCTCTTGTACAAGTTTGAACGTGTAAACATGATGTATCGCGAATCTCACTTTTTTCACTTGTTGTATGCGAGATACGTTGTTGTATCGTAAGATAAAACTTGTATGTGTTAGTGAACCAAGTGTATGAATCTTATCCTAATATGCAGGACTGCTCGCCGGAAAGCTATAAAAATAGAAATCTGAGGAAATCAGGTATCGACAAAAACCGCTCAGCTGCTGAAATTGGATATCGGCAGTGGACATTCAAAGGAAGTCTTTATAACATTCCTCATCTTCTCGTTCTAGTCGTTCTAATATTGTTTCCATTATATTATTTTTTTCTTAATCCAATCCATCACCCAACCTTTGTGGAATATTTTGTTTATAGTACGGGACTTAATAGCAAGGTAATAATGACAAGCAGCCGAGTTTCATCTATGCTTGTTTGTTTACATCAGAGTTCCCCAAACTTTTTTGTGTCGTAGATCCCTTGCAATGTTTTTCCGTGTTGGGTAGACCCCCTACTTACCTGATATTGATTTCCTGTAAATTTCTAACTGTAGTGAAGTTTAGTGTTAAAAACTTAAGTAAAAACACATGTTAATTTATACATTTATTATAGTAATTGAATTTAAATTAAAACTACTCAAAATAAAATTTTGTATCTGTTATGTAAAATATACGTAACATTAAATAAACAGGTGTCTGACCAATAAGTGCCCGCATTGGGAATACGTGCCCGCATTGAAAAAAAAATAAGAGGGATAAAATAAAAAAGTGAAAAATAATAAAAAAAAGTTTTTTACTTAAAATAGTACAAAAGCGAGTTCGTTTATTAATTATAACATAAACGTATGTTCTACAATAATTTCACTGCTAGTTTGATTAAACGAATTTTAGTGTGTACCTATCCTTGAATTTTCAGAATAATTTAAAAAAACATAAACATAAAATAAACTATAAATAAAATAGCATAAGCAATAAGTCAATATTTTTAGTGAGAAGGATGAACCTGATGCTTTAATAATAAATTATCAACATTTGGCGTCAATTTTGTAAGGGTTAATCTTAAATCTCCTCGGCTAATGATGTCCAGTCTGTTTCTTTTTTTCGTTAGGAGATTGGTAACAGCGCTGAACCCCGTTTCCACTAGGTATGACGATGGAAAGGAAATTAAAAATTTCCTCGCTATATTCCATAATACGGGATAAGTAACGGGTATGTTGTTTTGCAGCCAGAATTGCTGATATCCGTTTTTAAACTGAACCTTAAGTTCTTCGTTTGTACTTAGTTCAGTCAGTTCCTCTTGTAGTATGACATTCGTTTCTTCTATGTCACCATATGGAATAATTATCCACGGTGGTATTACCATAGTCAAAATATCCCCAAACCTAGATTCAAAATCTGAATAGAAGGCATTTAAATGTTGAACGTAAGTTGAAACGTCGTCTTCCTGGCAGCTTGTCTGTGACAAATTGGGGAACTGAGAAAATTCGCCCCGTCCAATATTTTGCTTCATTACTTTAACTCTGGCAAGAAACGCTGATAAGATGGACTTTGTTTTAATCAAATTTAAACTGTCGCCTTGTAATTGCAAATTAACCATATTAAATTTTGTAAACAAATCTGTTAAATAGGCGATGTCTGTTTTCCTCTTCATTAAATTTTCTTTTAAAATTTTGTCTTTAGTAGCCAGATTCTAAAACAGTCTCAAAAAGTGCAAAAAATGTTGTCAAACATAAGCCTTTCGACAGCCAGCGTACTTCAGTGTGAAGGAGTAATTGATGAAAGTGTTCGTCATTTTCTTCACACAACTGCGCAAATTCAACGCGTTGCTTCGGATTCGGTTTACTGCATCAATGACTAAATGAAGTGATTCATGCAATCTAACACTCACATTTTTAGCAACTAAATGTTGTCGATGGATGACGCAAGGTATTGCTAACACCCCTGACACATTTTGTTTTAAATAGCTTATAAATCCACGATAACGTCCAACCATGGCAGGTGCTCGATCTGTAGCTACTGATATTATATTTGATAAAGGAATTTCTTTTTCAATGAAGTAATCGTTCAAAACATGAAATATTGATTCACCTTTAGTGTCGGTTATAAAAGTTCTTGCGAAGAGCAATTCTTCGTAGATTTCTTGATTCATAATAAAACGAACATATGCCAATAATAATGCTGCATTATCAGGTATAGTTGACTCGTCCAGTTGTATAGAGAAATGGGTCGTTTGCAAATAATTACATAAGAAGCTTTCAATATCAGAACTCATTTCATCAATACGACTTACAACAGTATTGTTGCTTAAGGGAATTCTTTTAATGATATCAGATGCAGGTTTGTGTAAAACAGTTCTTAAAACCTCTTCAACGGCTGGCAAAATTAACTTCTCTACGATAGTATGCGGTTTTCCGGATTTTGCTATAAGTAACGAGATATTGTAAGACGCCCGCAAACCATCGTCATTTCTTTGTGACGTCGAGGCGAACATTCTATCCAGTGTAGGTCTCTTCAGAAATTTATCTTTGAGTGTTTGAAAGTATTTCAAATCTTTCTCTGTTTTATCAGGGTGGCATCTTCTCAGATGATCTTGCAGTTTAGATGGTTTCATAGCGTCATTGCCCAAAACTTTGTTGCATAAAAGGAACATAGGCGATTGTTTGTCCGGCAATGATGGAATGAAGCCAAATTTCAAATAATCAACACTGTACTGTCTACATTTCTTTTTAGATTCGGACATGGCATCAGTCATCTGTAGGCAAAATTAAATTATTTAAATAAGTCAGAAAATCCAGCAGCTGTATATTAAAAATATTTTTTGATTTTTCCGAAAACATTCCATAATTCGAACATCTTCTTGCAACAATTAGCTCGAATTACGGAGAGTGCACTGTAATTATATTACCGACTGCTAAAACTTTCAAAAAGAAACTATTGAAGAGTACTCGTGTAATTTTGCATGACTGAATATTTAACTACTAATAACTAAAGTCATGATTGGCGTAATTTGTGTGATATACTATCTGTTTATATTTTTTAAAATATTTTCTTAGCACTTTCCTTTTCAAGATTCAGGAAACGAATAAACGTATTTGTCCCACATTCGTATTTATAGAGTGACGAATTGAACAAGTCAATGCAAAGTAGCGAAGCTATGAGACTGCGACTTTCAGGTTTTTACAAGTTCAAAATGTATTGCGACCACAAAGCGAATACCAACATCCTACAACTTACACAATTTTATAAACATATATAATAAATTTTTTACTTCATAGGTACTTTTATAAATAATGTATGTTTTGATATTATAAGACAGTATGATGTAAGTAAATAGGTACTATCAGTGTATGTGTTGAGATCCACTATCGTGGACCCCCATATTAATTTCATGGACCCCAAATTTTTTTTCGCTGACGTAGACCCCTTGCAGGTTGTCATAGACCCCTAGGGGTCGATATAGACCACTTTGGGAATCAATGGTTTACATCTTTAACCCGCGATTATTTGATAATGATCAATAATTTTGTGAAGTACTCTCTCACGTGGTTACTGTGGAAACAGCTGAGCTCAGAGAGACACTGTCTCACGTGAGAGCAAAAATTGCAAGTACTATAGCTCAAGTGTTTCAGAGAAATGTTCTGTGGAAACATTCGAGATAAATTTTTCATAAGACAAAAGTCTCCTGAGATATTTTTCTCTTTGTGGACTCTTTCTGATATCTCACCAAGCAAACTACACAGCCAACCTAATGAGATTATTTTTCATAACGAAGTTGAATTTTATCGTATGTTATGTTTTTATTTCCAGCCTTCGGCATTGGGAGCATGGTCTACTCCGGACTGGAGTTCGGCCGATATTTTGAGCTGAAAAACAACGTCGACTGCAAATCGAATATCTTGCAGGCCATCACCCCGGCGGCTAGGATGCTGCTTACACTTGTCCAGGTCCAGTTTATCTTCCTGAACAGCAAGGTAATTACATCAGGCGAACATCGGCCATTTCTAAAAGAGTCCACCCGTAGCTCTGGAACTGACATTGCCTGACATATCCGGGAAAACACTTCAATTATACCCCAAGAGATTTCGACAATATATAAATACGTACTTTCCAAAATTTTTATTTCAACAAGATGTCACTACTTTGGCTTTAAAGAGTATATTCTGAGCGTTTTATTTTTTCTCTGAGAACGATAAGTGGTGAAACTTGCCCAGCAAAGTTCAAACTTGAATTCCCGTCTGGTAATAAGTTTCAGTGTGACGTAATTAGTTTTTCGACATCTTGTCATCAGGATACGACGCTAGATTCCTCTGCCATAAGGCTTAGGCTCCAGATAGATGTAAGAAAAGTAGTTTACTAATCTCTGTGGTTAACTGTTTGGTATATAGTTCAGGAAGTATCCTCTCATCTGCTCGAGAAGATATTCTGATTACTGATTTATTGCATAATCTTATTCAAGCAGAAGCCCCGTTGAATCTATATGTTGCTAGACCTAAAGTTGCGTACAAAATTGTGGAAACAATTTTATGAAACAAATCTCAAAAAATGTTTTTTGGCATCGGAAGTTTTTTGAGATTTTTTGCATCATTCTGAACAAAAAAAGGTTATTATGAACTGCTGTTTAAAGTTGATAGTTTTCGAGTTATACTTTATCTGAAATCACTTGAAATAGCATAAAAACCTTTGGTCGGCGCGTCCTTTGTAATTTCATGACGTATCATAGGCGTGCGGTCATTTATTTAGAACGATAATAATAATGTTTTTATATCACAATAAATGGATTTTACTATCTTCTTATTTTTTTGATTTGGGATAAAAAATACTTATATTGGGAGTTTAATTTATTTTGACTGAAAGTTAAGAAATGGAAAAATTACAGAATTCCAACGTTTGACATAGGCAAATATTTACATAGCAGGTAGGTATATAAAAAGGTATATAAAGACTTACATTATAGGTATTTATATATCATCCTCGCCTTCGGAGCTGTCGCTAGAGTCATCTTGTAGAGGAATTACAACGGGATTTACAGGAGGCAAAACACAATATTCATTTTCTTTTTCAATAATATGCCTAGAACACTGCTTCCATAGGTCTGTGGCAGCAATATGAGATACTGCATCTCTTATTGTGGCCAATAGGGATTCACTTAATTGAGGGGTCTGATTATGTTTTCTTACTTTTTTTTTAAAGCAGCCCAGACCAACTCCATCGGGTTAAAAATGCAGTAATAGGGAGGTAGACGTAATACTTCATGGCCATTTTGCTGAAGCAGATTGTCAACAACATACTCTTTTTCAAATTTTTGTCTTTTAATAAGATCCAATAATATGGCTTTGGTTGATTTTTGTGATATTTCCATTCCCGTATCCTTCATAAAATCAATAATGTCTTGTTTTTTTGTGCCTGTATTCGGAATTTTGTTTTTCTGTCGGGAATGGTACGGCCATAATAATCACTGAATTTGGGGAAATGTTTGGTATTAACTGCTGCTCTATCCACTTTTCAAATAAGTCGGAGGTCATGTCCTCATGATAGTCGGCACATGATTCTTTGATATTTTTGGCAGATAACAGCAAGGCATTAGGTATAAATCCATTTTCACTGCCAGCATGGAGAATAATGATTCGTTTTCCACGGTTGCATGGTGCATTTAAAATGCGCTTGTTGCTGTCGTCAACCCAGCCGTACTGCACAACATCATGGGTATCATACCACGTTTCATCCAGGTAAATCAGATTTCTTTTCTGCTCTCTATAGATTTTAACTTTGTGCAAAAATTCTTGGCGCAATTCAACGCTTCGAGACGACTCCATAATCACCATTCTTTTATCTAATTTTTTGTATTGAAAACCACACAGTTTTACAATACAGTGCAGTGAGTCTAAGCATTTGTAATTATAAAAATCTTCAGGATAATCTTTTAATTTATCCCGTATCATTTCCAACGTGGGCACCAAATTTTCTTTATAAAATCCGTATATTATACGACGAATATCTTCCTGAAAACCCACGTCTATTCTTTTTAATTTTTGCCCTATGCGCTTTCTGTGGAAGGAATGGTTGACTACATCTCCCTTTTTATAACCCGATAAATGGTAGACCGGCTGATTTTTGTCAGGATACAAATTCTGTTTAAAATTTGATTTTGCGAGGAATCTGGATTTTCGTTTTTCAGACAATCATACATATTTAGGATTACTCTTTGGGTCTGTTCCTCTAAATCTTTATGAAAGAATTCTGCCTGCACAGGTTCATCAACCATCTCCTCGTGGCTTGGAGCATTTTCCCAAGGTCTCCAAAGAGCCATATTTAGGACACACAAGAACAATCAACACAACAATTAAATCAACAAGTAAACTGAGTATTCAAAAGTCAAAAACACACAAACTAATAAAATCTATGAAAAAACACGGACAGACTAAAGAAAACACGTTTATTCACCGCTACACGGCACTGGCTAAACTGTTTCAATTTTCAGTAGCCACCTGCACTTGTTCGGAGCTCTGAAATACACGCTTTCTCATTGGCTATGTCCACGCATAGGCGTGCTTTACTCCACGTGGACCGGTGAAACTGCCTTTGATCTTATACGCGGGATATTTGCTGCGAAATTTGGCGATTTTTGCAGCAACAGAGCGTGTTAAATATAGATATATAAAACGCACCCGGTATTTCACAGTGTTTCAAGTGACTTCAGATAAAGTATACAAGCGTAGCGAAGATTTTAAAAAGTATGAAATATGCCGAAACAATATCAAAAAACGAAAATTTTAATGTTGCCCATGTTCATAAATGTCCCTCAAACATCGATTAAGAGAAGCCTGAAGCCTTTTTGTGGGGTATTGTTATTGCAAACCTTTGTTTCTTGCTTGAACGCGAGAAAGATGCAGCAGAGTGCAGCGATCAGAAATACCTATTTTTGTGAACGAAACTTTGTACAAACAGGCTTGTAGCATGTCCAATTACCACATTACCGTCTTCAGAATGGAAGCCACTATAAAAATGATGTCAAGTAGGTTGACTCTGCACTTGCTATGCAACGCCGTCCTCAGTTCATAAAGGATTAAGATCAGGAAAAATTAAATCCTCTGAGAAAATATTGAGGTTCGGACACGTAGACCAAAGACATTAAACGTGTTAAGTAAGTCAAACAGGCCCATACTATTACATACATTCTTTCCCTGCCTTACTGGTAGTTACCGACCATGTGGCAACGTTTTTTCCCTCATCTGCGCGGCATCTGTGCAGCGAGTTATCTTTCAGTTCGTGAAAGGTCTGTATGTTTTTGGGCTTCAGTACGAATACATATATACGAGTACGCGGCTCGAAAACATTTCTCTATCATTCTGTTTTAAAGGCAAATGTACTGGTAAATCGATGTGTGAAATATGGCTAACAGGTGCATATAATTGTCTGGGTTGGGAGCGTATAAATGAACTAATAACAAAAAATGCTAATATGCAACCACCCCCTACAAACCTCAACCCTCAAATTTCAACCCATACAAATTTTTTTCTGATAATGATCAGGACCGTCTAAGGCGTCAAAAAATGAAGTTTGAGTATTTTATTTTTTGTTTGTTTGTGGTCTCTTTCTCCGCCACGACTAATCCGATTTTTCAAAACAATAAAGCCCCTCAATCATTGGCATAGTAGTAACCTCGAGTGAAAATTTCATCAAAATCCGAAGGATACTTCTCAAGTTATAAGCGGCTATAAAATTATCGAAAGACAGACAGACAGACCGACGGAAATAGGTCCCATGGTTTTTCGTGACATACATGTCATATGATACCCAAAAATCATAATATCTCAATTGGGAAATTTTTCGAGATTATGCTTCCTCGCGAATTTTTTTCCGCAATATTTTCATCAACACAGATATCCTGGGTGAACTGTATTTATTGTTATACCTGTTTAATTATTTGTTTCTAAGGGGAAAAAGAATTTAATTTTCTGTCAGTGACCATTCTGACAATCTTGGGATAGTGGAAATTAATTCATTGATTCAGATTTCCAAAATCTTTACACTAAATATATGGTGCCTAAAATCAATGTCCTCGACAAACTGCCATCCAAGATAACTTCGCATAGGTATCTTTTGGACCTTGTTACAAGAATTCACTCAAACTGGATCTGTTGCAAACAAAAAACGTGACCATCGGAGAGTTTTGGATGAAGCCGGTCAAGTTGAAGTTTTCGGTCATTTTGGAATAAATCCTCAGTCGTGTTTACTGCTCAACCTGTAAGTTTAAATAAATTTCGTCAACGCATCATCGAAAGCTGCCATGATATCTCAAAACATGTTTTTGAAAATGTCCGTCAGGAATTTGAACATCGCCTATATCATTGCTTGGCCAACATCATATTTAAGTGCGTTTTTGTTTTCTATCTGAACAAATTAAGATAAATAAAGATTTTTCTTGAAAACAAATCAACCGATTTTGGTAAATCAAACGTCAAAATAAAGGAGTTCGGAAGAACTTTCAAACAAGCTATTACTCGATACCCCTTGTTATTTAATATTTTCAAGAGTATGACTCTGGGGGGCAGAGGGTGAAAGGGGGTGAAGTAGTTTTTGGTTAAAAAGTTTTCCCCCTTGACAAATCTTTTGACATGTCTCGGCGGTTTCTCATTTTCCCAGTGGTTTTCGATAAATACGTGGTGGCAAGTTTTCAAATGAACACCCTGTATACTGTAAGATCTACATACAGCAATTTTTCGTCCAGGTATGATGAGCAGTTGTGCTCAACGAATTCGAATAGATTAGAATTATATAAGATCGTCGTCAAAATTGCGTAGTTGTAGTGCATACGTTTGGCTCATATGTGTACCAATTCATACCAAAGTGACAGCGTTGTATCAACATAATAATAATAACACTGATCAACAGCCAAAAAATATCCTAAATAAAATCAACAAAAAATTACTATTTTTAATGTGCTAAAACCGGAATGAAACTTATTTTTTCA